GGACTGGAAGGCCCTGCTCCGCCCTCTCCCTTTTCCGGATTGATAGCCCCCGCCTCCCCGCTGGGGCCCTGACTTCCGTGCCTCTCCCCTCTTTTCCTCTCTCCCTCTGCTGGACCTGGAAGTCACTCTCTCGACCTGGGACACCCCGCCCCCCCCAACCTGGAACTCATCAGGGCCAGCTGCTGGCTGGCGAGGAGAGGGACTTAGCTCCATGGCGTAGCACCTTTAGCAGAGAGACTAGATTGTGCCCCTCCTTTCCCGAGTTCTCCCCACCTGGGCTGGTGCCTTCTACTTCACGGGCCTGCACCCTCAAAATGTCCTTCCCGCCCGGTGACTGGCGGTGTGAACCCTGGTTGCACCGGAGTTGCAGGAGGCGTGCTTAGGCAGGACAGGAAACACACGTTTCTTGGGCTCTTTTCCGTGGGTGTGAGGATTTAATTGCAGGCAGGGAGAATGTGTAAAATTTCGGGAACAGCTTGCTTAGTGTTTCTGCACTTAATCAACAAGAACCAACAATGAAGCCCTTGAAAGATTTGAAGTCTACGGAGAATGATGAGTTTAAGTGGTTTTTAGCTTCTAAAAAAGTTTTCTTCCCTGGAGAACTAGAGTCCTGCTATGGAGCAAATGATTATGATATTACCCCCAAAACACGGGGAAGCAGAGAGGCTGGCTGCATGTGCTGGGCAGCTTTGGGCCCTCTCCAGCCCAGGAGCTGGGGGCTTGCTCCTGGAGGCCTGGGAATGACTGCGGGGAAGCCAGCCAGGCGCAACAGCTGCTTAGCTAACAGGGAGGGGTCGGCTGAACTGCCCCCACCCTCAGGGACCATCACTCTTTCTCCGAGTTCCTTCTCATCCCTGTGCCTTGCTCCCACCTCAGCCGTGTGGCCCCTGAGAGTTGCTGTATTTTGCAAAAAAAGCAACAATATATTTGACAGGAGAAAATAAAAGTTGGCCTCAAATGGTACTATTCCCATTTTACATTTGAGTAAGCTGAGGCTCAGGTTTACCCAGAGTCACACAGGAAGTGGCAGGGTTTGGATTCAGTGCTCATGCTCTCAGTGCCTGGGCACCTGTCTTCAGAGGCTGGGTGAGAGCGTGGCACACGTGGTACACGAAGGCCTTGTCTCAGCTGTGGGACCCTAGAGTCTGCATGGTCACAAAGAGCTTTTCCTCCCTCAGAGATGAACCCTGTGCTCTCCTCACCCCTGGAGGTAAACAGTATACCCCAGGGCCTGGCCTCTGGCGCTGCAGAGTGGGCCAGGACTGTCAGGGCCTGTCTGGTCTGACCCTCCGATTTTAAAGATGGGGAAACTGAGGCACAGAGTTGTAACTGGTTTGCCACCAGTCATAGCAGGTGGTTAGAACTGAGGGGTCCCTGCATCTCTCTGACTAGAGGAGTCATTCCGCTACAGGGTGTACCACGAGGCCCATCCTCAGGGGCCGTGGTCATCTGGTTCTGCCCACTGCCGATGCAGGGACGTGTCAGTCCCTTCTTCCTGGTCACTGCAGACCCAGCAGCACTTCCTGCTTCATCCTCACAGCCCGACTGGAAGTCCAGGCTGCAGTTCAAAGCTCACATGTGGCCACTCTTCACTGACCTGTGCTGGGAGGTCCCAGCCCATGACGTGGAGGAGCCCAGCTTCATTTTCCATTAGATGTGATCTTTGGTTTCTGTCCGTAAACATGTCTCATGAAGGTGGATGAGGTTTATGACTTGCTGCCTCTTTAAAGATTAAGAAAAATAGATTGCCCTGAACTTTCTCTAGAAAAGGTCCTTGCTGCTCTCTTGTGAATCAGCTGAAACTTTAGACCAGCTGTGTCCTGAAGGTGACTAACCCAGCATTTCTCTGGGACTTGAGTAATGAGTGGAGTCAGTGAAAAACGCATGTTTGTTTTGTCTGTAATAGACAAGAGAAAGCTCATGTGAGCCCTGGGTTCCTATCTCCCCTTAGGAAATTCTGGTAAATCTAGGCATTAGGTAAATGTTTAAAGTCACTTTACAAAAATCAACAACCAAACTAAATCTTAGTTGGGGGCAGTGAGTAATACTCTCTTAGCACAGGTGTGGGTACACTTCTCCCCCACTGCCAGGTAAAACTGATTTGGAAAGCTTCCTAATGGACAGCTGGAGACTTCTTCATAACTGCTTGGAAGCGCCCCTTTTCTTAAGTGGGAAAATGGAAAACATTTTAACAGGCGAAGTATTTCTAAGAGGCCATTATTAAAACCTCCTGATGGGGAAGGGTTTTTGTTTCTGCTTTTTAACTGAGGCAAGAAATGTCTGCGGGCACCTCTGTGCAGTGAGTGTGCTCCCTGAGGAACGCTTACTCCTTATCTGCAGCGAGGTCACAGTCAGTGACCCTGGGACGCTGTCCGTGGCATTTGTCCACCTGATGCCTCCAGGGCAGGCACGCCGGGGCAATGGCCGCTCCCAGACCAGAGCTTGGCTGTCACCTGGCTTGAGACTCCCTGCCTTCCCAGGCGACATCTGCGGGGGAAACACAGGGACTTTTTTCTCCACCATGAAAACCCCGTTGGGCAGGCAGTGTTGATGAGGACACCTTGTTCACCTCCAGCCTCCTCCATTCTGCTTCTGCTAATGTGCACACTGCCCTGCTTTTCTGATTTTTGTCTTTGTCAGTTTTGATGCTGAAGCTTTTCGCAGGCCCTGATGCTCACGTTTGGGTGCCTCACGTGACCTGCCCACCAGGTCACACCTGTCCCTGCAGCACCCTTCCTGCTCCTTCCTTTTCTGCCTGCAGTTCTGAGGCCCCTCAGGGCACCCCGGAGGCACTTGTCTCTAGGGTGAAGCTCCCCTTTCCATCCCACTGCTGCCCTGAGCCACGGCCTTCCCAGCTCACCTCCAAACACAGTTGATGTGGTCTGTCCTGCAGTGGAATGTGGCATGAACTCCTTGGGGCCCGGAGGCATCTTCCCACCTCTTCACCTCCAGCCCAGTAGCTGGAGAAACAGCAGTGTTGGCGCCCTGATTCTGCCTCCTTAAACTGGGGTGAGCGTTGCACGTGCCGGGGGTGGGATGAGGGCTAGTGAGGGGACACTGTGGAGCCCATAACCATGCTGGGCCCAGGGACTTCGCCACACAGAGGGACACACGTGGGTGCCACTGCTGTCTCTGTGCGGCTGTCACTGCGTGTTTAGATGGGTCCGCCTGTGCCCACGGGAGATGCTCATTCACAAGTCTCCTGACCAGTGTGCCCCCTCCCAGGAGCTGAAGTAAGATCCCAGCCACTAAGGAGTGTGAGCACTCCCCTGGTGTTCCAGGCCACCTGCGTGTCTTGGGGGGTCCAGGCAGTCAGGTGGGACTCGATGGGTCTCACTGGCAGGTCTCCTCCTGAGTGACTGGGAGCTGTCTCTGTAGATGTCTGTGTCTTTTTAAGTGGCTCTCCCCTGTCCAGCAGTGCGGGGAGAGTTAGGGCTGGCTGAGGAGAATGCGATCCTGCTTCCAGAGGAGAGCACGGTTCCCCGAGTCTCCTGGCAGCCAGGGTGTTCTGGTGGAAACATTCTCTTTCTACCAAGTCCTTCTGAGGTGGCTTTGGTCTCCTGTTTCTTGACCCTGTGCCAGAGCTGCTGGTGCCACCCACCCTCCCTGTCCTGCAGGGATCCTCCTGGGCCTCTTGTTTCTGTGACAGTCACCCAGTTAACATGGGGTGTGGAGATGGAGAGGCTCTGCTTCGCTGTCTAGGGTGACAAGGAGCTCGCTATGCTGTGTTGAGCCTGCTGTCTTGTTTATACCTCTGACGAGAAAGGCACTGCTGTGGTCCCATTGTACAGAAGAGAAAACTGAGGCTCAGGATGGTAAGGCAACCATGCAGCCACCTGGGAGAGGTGGGGATAGGGCGGGGGGGACTCAGCCTGGCTGACACCCCCCTGCCCACCTCAGTTCCGTTCTCTGTGAAATGGGGGCTGATAGCAGCTGCCCTGGAGGCTGTGTTGTCTGTGGAGCCTCGGGACGTGCTCAGCACTGGGGGCCCTGGCTGGTGGGGTGCCCTGATCCTGCTCCCAAGTGCACCTCCCCCGGACCCAGCTTGGGAAGCAGCCCTGCAGGCTCATGCGATGGGCCTGGAGCAGGGTTGCAGGAGGCAGGGTCCTGGGCACGGCTCTAGTGCACATTTCTTGATGTAAAAAGTCCTCTGCCCCAGAGAACACCAGGCACCCCCTTCCGAAAATGGCAAGCAAAGGCTGAGGGCACCGCCTGGGGCAGGTGAGCGAGGTGAGGGTGTCTGGCACTTGTGTGTGGGAGGGCGGCGCTGGGGAGGGCCCCATCTGGGTGTGACTGTGTGAGCTGGTCTGTTTGTAGGTGATATTGTGATTTAGTCTCACCTCTGAGCAAGAATTACCTCCCAGGAAGGCAGCCCCTTGACAAGCTGTGTACTCTGTTGAGATCTCTGTCAAGATGCCCCTGCCCAGTGTTACATCGCAAAGGACCCCCCAGATAAGCTAAAGCTGTGTGGCTGCTTCGCTGCCCTCCAGCCCACCCGGCTGTTTACAAGTTCTGCCCTGTGCTTCCAAGAGAGGCTTCAGCTCTTAAGGGGATCTTGAGGGACCTGCATGCTCTGGAGATTTGGCTTGCGGAGTACGTAGCCCAGCCTCTCTGCCACCTTAGGGCCCCACCCCTCCACTACCCAGGTCTTCACGAAGAAGGGTCCTCAGTGCCCTGTGACAGAGTCTATTGTGTCTGTTCAGTTTGGTGCCGGGGGCAAGCTGTGGGGCCAGAGGTATCTGCGTGGCTCCCACAGAGGGAGTATGGTGCCACGGTGGAGGTCTGGTCCTGGGAGGTGGCCATTTAAGCAGATAAGCCAGTGAGAATCAGCTGCAGGAAGGTGCTAGGGCTTCTGTGCGATCCTGCTAGACTCCTCAGAGGGAGTTTGGCCTCCAGGTGAGGCCACAGTCAAGGAGGAAGCTGGCATTCCGGTAACTAAGCAGATCGGCGTGTGCTGGGTCCAGGGTGCCTGCACGCAGCCCCACCACTGTTCTCAGCTCCACCTGGAATCCCTTGATTCCGTGTCAGGCACGTGGGTGTCCCCTAGAGGATTTTCCCTGTGGCCTCTCCCCAGGGATTGGAGAATCAAGAAGATGGGACAGTTTGAAAGCAGGATGTAAGAGTTTCCTTCTGCAGAAACAAGTTACACAAACTCACTACTTAAAGCAACACAGGTTTACCCTCTTACAGTTGGAGAGGTCAGAAATCTGGATAATCCCTTTGCTTCAAGGTCGGTGGATTAACAATTTAACTTCCATCCGCTACCTCGAGCTCCCCTTGCAATGACACATGATCCCCATGGGTCCTGAGAGTTGGGATGTGACAGATTGGGGGCTATTACTCTGCTGACCGTGAGGGGAGATTATGGAGGCAGAACCGACTGTTCCGACCACCTGGATTCCACTGGCAGCATCAGCATAGCACGAGTTCTGGAATCAGAGTTCTGTCCAACATGGACTGTGGCAGGGCTCACACCTGAGTCCACAGGTGGGCGTCTTAAACACAGACCCACGGGCCGCTGAGTCCCACCCCAGGAGTGACTGATTCTGCCCTGGTCTCAGTGGGCCTGAAAGTCTGTGTTTCTGACAGGTTCCCCAGTGCTGCTGCTACTGCCGGTCCTGGACCCACTCTGGGACCACTGGTCTACTGTGTGCATGGTGTCCCTGGGCCACAGCCTAAGACGGGGTCTCCCAGCTCTTGCTCAAAGACCTCCGGTGCCAGTATGACTCATTCCACCTTCAGGTGACTTGAATGGCCTGAGGGTTGACTTCAGAGCCTGGCTAGCTCTGGGCTGAATCCCAGCCAGATGACCCTGGACAGGTTCCTCACCCTCTGTGGGCTGCCTTGTGGGACTGTGACAGGACTAAATGAGATGGTCTGCAAGCAGCACTCGGGGTGCTCAAGGGAGCCATCGTTAGCCAAGTGTGAGGACAACTCAGAATTGATGCCTCAGTTCCAGGGCTGCCGCTGTCTGCTAGGACCAGTGGTGGCATCTCCTGTGGCTGGTCCCCAAAACTCGCTGGTGAGGGTTGGGTGCAGAGATTATGCAGCAGCAGAGAAGCACCAACCCTTCCCTCACCAGGACTGCGAAAATGCAGAGAATTAGCTGTGTGTTCGTTGCTTGGGGAGCAGATAGGGCTCTGGCCAACACCCATCCCCCAGACTTGAGTCTCCACGGAAATTGATTCCTGGGTTCTGGGGAGGAAACCACACCCAGTGGATGATGAAGGAGTTTATGGCGGAAGTGAACTGGAGGAGGAAGGACACACCAGAAACACAGGATGCCTTTGACCCATTTGCTAAACAAACAGCTTCCAGGGTTTCAAGCAGGTGTTGCCCTCTTGGCTTCAGGTTACCACCAGTTTTCACCAGCTTGTTTCTAGAATGAAGAAGTAAGGAATGGAGAGAGGACTTGTGGGTGCCTCCAAGGCCATTGCCTGTCCTGACCCAAGCCCAAAGACAGTCATGGGCAGGGCGTCCTTGGGCTGAGCCTGGCTGGGAGGCCCTGCTGGTGCCCTTGACGCATCTGCCGACCATCGAGCGTGGGGCATCCTCGTGGGGCAGGGCTGGGCACCCTGGGAAGTGTGTGCACCCCTGACCTCACTTGTCCTCTGAGGTCAAGTGATGGGACAGGGGTCAGCCTGAACACTGCTCCTCATTCCCCTCCCCAGGCAGATGGGGGCTGAGGCTGCCAGGTAGCCTCTTCCAACACCCACCTGCTGGCAAGGAAGGCCGTTTCTCTGGCAGCTGCTCCAGGGAATTCCAGGCTGCGGAGCCCTCACAGATTTCTCTCCCCCAAATAAAATCTGTCATCTTTTACTACCACAGGCTCATTTCAAAAACTCCCTCGCTTCTCCATTTCTCCTCATTTGTTGTTTTACAGAAGAAACTGGAGCGGCCTTCCTCCCTAGCACTTTCTGGGAGGAGGTTCTCCTCTGGGGAGAGGGCAGGAGAGACACGGGGTGGAGGGAGATGCCACAGGAACCAGGTGTCCTGGTTCCAGCTTCCACCTCAATGTGGCATCAGTAGACAGTCCTGCCTACTTCCACTAGCATTGGTCTGGTCTCTGCTTTCCCCCAGGAAGTTTTTTAAAAAGACAAAAGGCAGTTTGCATGATGCCGTGTGACCACGTGGGTAACAAAGTCTTGGTAGCTACGTGTGGTCAGGAGGGAGCACTTTGGGGTCTGTCAGTGCTTGGTGGGGATCCCCAGGCCACCCATTACTAGCTGTGTGGTCCTGGGTAAATTTCTCAACCTATCTGAGCCTCAGTTTCCTCATCTGTAAAGAGGGAGTGGTGGCACCAGCCTCCAGGAGGTGGCTGTCCCAGACGGAAGCCAGGGGAAGTCATTTGTTAGTTTTGCAGCAGAGCTAGGCACCGACCTTCACTGAGGGGCTCCTTGCTCTTCAGAACTCAAAGACTCCCCAACTCCTTGGGACTTAAAGTAAGATTTGTGAACACTCACCGTCTGGTCTGTGCTCGGTTTGTAGAGAGGGCTGAAGGGCTGGCTGCCTCTGTGCCCTTGGTATCCAGATAACTCGACACAGGCTCCTCCAGGAAGCATCTTTGCTCTGGTCAGATTTCTCCCACGCTCCATTCCGTCCATCCAGTCACAGCTACAGAGTTTTCCTGAAGGCCCCACGTGGGCCGCAGTGTCCTGCTGGCTGTGCGCTTTTCTCTTAACTCCACTGGTGCTGTTAGTGGAATGTGTTCCATTATTTTAATGGATCAGCACAAAGATCTGTGTGTATCTTGATGGCATTTTGTAAACACTTGCAGAGATGGCAGCTTCACTTAGCAGAGAACTTCATGGTTTGTACTTTTTATACCCCACCTGGATTTGAGGCAGCTGAGGTTCACCCCCAACACCTTTCTGCATGTATAATTCAAGGAGGGCTGAAGAAGCAGGTGGATTTTCTGTGTCTTGTCCACCCTGGTGTCTTGAGAGGCCCGAGCGTGGCTCAGGGAGTGGCTGGAGCACAGGTGCTGGGGTCCCCCAGTCTGGCCTCACCCAGCCCTACCACTTCCTGGCTGTGACCCTTGGGGCAAACAAGCTCACTCCCCCTCTCTGGTCCTCCATTTCCTCATCTGTCAAATGGGTACCAGAACTGTCCACCTCCCAGGCTGCACACAGGTTATACGCGCAAGCATTCATCGCACACCAGTAAGCCCATGTTTAATACTGAACCTAAGAAAATACCCATCCGGCACCTGGGCTTCAACCTGGGAGCTCTGACTCTCTGATGGAGGTGCTGACAGTCAGGGGAGAAACCTCCAAATTTAGAGGTGGTAGCAGATGGCAGCTCACCCGGTGCAGCTGTTGGGAGCTCCCAGGCAAAGTCTGTTCCTTCCATGGAGCCTGGGTTTCTCATCAGACTTTGATTGGGGGTGCATGGCTTCTGACCATGAGGCCTTTCCTGCAGACCTGGCTGACTTGAGTGGCTCCCTTCCTGCTCCCTCCCTCCCTTCCTCATGCCCCAGCCATGCTTCCTGAGGGGCAGGATGGACTCCATGGCCCTGTTGGCTGCTTCCCTCTGAGTGGTCACTCCGGGGTGTGAGTGCTGTATGGGGGGGGGCAGGAGCTGTCTTTGCCCGCTGACCATCAGCCCTGTGGGCAGAGCTGCATGGCTCTCCTGGCCCCTGCCAGCACCTGGGCTTCCCCCCAGAGCTGGGTCTTGTTGGTGTCCATCAAGTGACCTTGACTTAGCCTGTCGTGAGCTTTCTGGGGTTCCAACGGGGACTTTGGAGGATATGCTGTATGTTCCTGGGGGGAGAGGTGGGTAATTGGCCTCTGTGTCGGGTCCCAGGGATGCTGATACGCCTCCTGACCACCTGTTCTCTCCTCCCACAGAGCCTACAACGATGGTGGTGTCACCAGCCAGCTCAGAAGCCCAGGTACTTGGAAAACTTTAAGTTTACTTGGTACATGTTAGACTTAGGTATATTGTGCAACGTAACTTAGAAAGCGTGTGAAGTTACACAGTTGTTCCTGGGAAGGGCTTAGTGGAAGGCGTTGATGAAGAAATTCTTCGCAGGGTAGTGTGGGCTCTGCCAGCCTCGGGGGGCCTGAAGGGAGGGGTACCCATGGCTCCTGCCTCCCTTTGCCCTCCAGCCCCTGAGCTCCTGGTGGGGCCTCCCACTGACCAGAAGGAGGGGGCAAAGGTGTTGTGGTCTGTGGGGTTCCCTGGGCAGAGGGTTGGGCAGGGGTTGGGTCTGGAAAGCAAACAGGAAAAGCAGCCAGTAACCAACGCCAAGGAGCCCCGACCCCCGCGAACTCAGACCTCACCAGTGGGGTCTCTTCCTATGTCTCCCTGTCCCATCTGCCCACCCCCAGCTAACGTGTCCTGAGTCTGATGTTTATCATTCCACTGCCTTATAAAAAAGTTTTATTTAAATAGGTGTTTATATGTTAAACATAGCCTTATACCATAGGGGTTGGCACAGGCCAAAAGATGCCATCTCATCTTTTGTGCAGAATTTAAAAACAGTAAGAAAACCACCCCCATGTTTTCTGGCTGCTTCTTATCAGCACATGCTGGCAATACTAATAATGTCAGTGGTAGGACACCCCCTCTGGCTGCGGCAGATGCTCCGCTGTTTAAACGGGAGGGACTTTCACAGGACTGCTGTGAGCCCTGTGGAAGGGTACTGTGCTGCACACACTCTTCTGGATTTGAGTGGAAGAAAGCCTGACTGTGTTTTTAGGAGTTACCTTCACTGCTCTGTGTGGCTGCCGCTCCCCAGGCTGCCCTGCCACGCTCACAGTCCCCAGTGGACTTGCCTTCACCACCTGCCAAAGGAGACCTGTTATCAATTCTGAAACTATTTACAGGGAACTCTGTATGCAGAAGTCCATCTGGACTGTTCTGTCTGGAGGCCCATAAATTAACCTGGGAGCCCCACCTAGGAAACAAGGCAGGGAGGCCTCTTGTTCTGTCAGCCCAGATTCTCACACTGGCCCCTGTACCTCCTCGGGCTGGTCCCCAGGGCTGGCCGCCGGGCCTGCAGGCTGTCTGGTTCCCACACTGCCGTCGGCAGGCAGAGCTGAAGGTTCTCAGCCTCTGGCCAGCTGCCCAAACTTTTCCTTAAGAGAAAGCGAGTGGTCCTTGCCTTCCAGGGAGGGGTTCCCGGCTGGGGCACAGGGACGCTTTTAACAGAGCAGATATCAGATAAGGGCTCCCAGTGGAGTTAACCCTTTCCCTGAGTGGTGCTGGTACAGGCCACTGACCAGAAGACAGGGGGAGGCGGGGCTGGGGGCTGCTCTTTGCTGCGGTGGAGCAGGGGGGCTTCCTGGTGGCCCCTCTGCCTGTCCTGCCCCATGTGGTGGTGTGGTCTCCCTTCGAGAGACTGGGTCAGAACCATCACTAGGGTGGGCAGGGCTGTGGGGCCACCCAGAGGGGCAATGAAGTTCACTGCCATCACCACGTCCTTCCTGGCACCAACCTCTGGGCTGAGAAATAACCAGTGGGAATTTGTGTGAAGTGAGGCCCTCGCCAGCCCAGCAGTCCTGAGGGGCATCTGGGCACTTTCTGGAGATGCCATCCGGCCCAGGCCCAGGCCAGGGCCCTCCGTCACCTGTCAGGTGTGACAGCCTCCACGCCTTGTCTCTGTGCCTCTGACTCGTGACTCTGGGGCATGACTTGGAGCTGGGGCTATGAACCTCGCCCCCTGCAGTGGAGATGAGGTGGCCTCCAGGATGCCAGGGCTGTTGACTTTGGGTGGAACTTCGCTCCCACTGGAGCCTGGCTCTTCCCACGCATCTCAGGGCCAGCTGAACTCCCTATGCCCCCTCCAGGCTCAGGGTGCTTTCTGAGGCATTTCTGCTGAGTGAGATGGCCTGTTCTTGCACCTGGTCCCCTCCTGACACTGGCTCTCACCCCTGGCCTCCGGCTGTGCTCCAGCTGGTTCCCTTGGGGTCCAGGTGGGGGGAATGCAGGAAACGAGAGGAGTCCCAGGTGGACTGTGTGGAAGGTGTCTGCTGAGGGTGTGACTCCCCTTGCACGAAGCAGCCCCCACCCTGGCACAGGCTGCAGGCAGTCTGACCTCCGGCCCTGCGCAGCCGGCTGCCTGATGCAGTCACGTGACCGACATTCGGTGCCTCTGCCCACCTGTGAAATGACAGGTTGCCTTATGCCTCGTGGCAAGGTTCAGTGGCAAAGAGCTGTTGTCACTTTGTTGTGTGTGTATCTTTTGTACTGTTGTCATAAAGGGAAAACATGAAAGCCGTGGAAAACACAAAACCAAAGTGTCAAGCAAACTAAGCAGCGTGATTATGACCTTAGTCCTCGTGCCTCGTGCTCAGGTGCACCGTGGCTGTCAGTGACCCGCGTCCCCTAAGGGGTGAGAGCAGGTTCAGACGGCACCTGAGCAGATGACTGTCCTGCACAGAACCCTGATTTCTAGATGTTAATGGTAGCCCATGGAAATACGGTTCCCTGCCAAGTAAAATCGAAATGTGCTGAGTTAAGAGGTCTCTCTGCTGCGAGGCTCAAATTTCTAATGTGCTGATGCGCTTTTAAAAAAACTTATGGAGAAAGAATTTCAAGCATATACGAAGCCAACAGAACAGCATTGTGGGCCCCACACAAGACTCCAGCAGTTAAGGGTACACCTGTTCCTTGGTGGCCCTGCCCCCTCCCTCCTCCTACTCAGGTAAAATTTTTTTTTAGGTTTTTCTTTTTCAGGTTAAATTTACATACATTGAAATTTACATGTGACTTAAAGTAAGTAAGTGAGGGAATACTACTCTGTGAGTTGAAGTGTCAGATCTTATTTTGTGTAACTATTTCAGCAGCGTTTATTGAAGGAGCTGGTCTTTCCCTTCTGGTTTAAAATATACTGGTGCAGCACACTAAAAGCTGATGTTTAACCAGGTCACCCCTCTGTCTTTTCTCAACAAACTTGTTGGGGCATACTTTATATCTGGTGAGTTCTGGCCAATGTATATGGTCAGCAACGGTGAGCAACACCACACTCCAGAATACAGCCCTTTTCCAAGGCCCCAGAAGTTCTTGTGTGCTCCCAGCTCCCACCCCCAGCCCAGGCTCAGAGCCTCCGGCCTGCTCTCTGTGCCTGTGGACTAGGTTTGTCCCCCCTAAAGTTCCATGTAAGCGGTGCAGCCTGGAGCGCTCGGTGTGCCTGGGGCTGGGTCCTTGGCACAGCCTCTTGCTGTCCTATGCACTGTCCAGCTCACGGCTTGTGTGGACAGGCGTTTTTCCTTTCTCTCTTGAAATCCCTGGGAGGGGAGCTGCAGTCCCGTGGTCAGTCGTGTTGGATTATAAGGACTTGCCAGTTTTCCACAGTGGACCTTGGAGCATCCCGTTCGGATGACAGCCGGTGTTCTATTTCCCTGTTAGAAGCCGTTCATTGGTGACCTTCGCATGTTCACCGCTGTCCCCCTCCCCGCCCTGCAGGTGGTGCAGTCGCTGGGCTTCGCCATCTACCGCGCGCTGGACTGGGGTCTGGATGAGCAGGAGGAGCGGGAGCTCAACCCGCAGCTGGAGCGGCTCATTGACCTCATGACCAACAGTGACTGTGAGGACGATGACGGCGGCTGCGGGGCGGCCGACGAGGGCTACGGGGCTCCAGAGGAGGAGGAGGAGGCCGAGAGCGGCCTGCGTGCCGTGCGCTCCTTCGCACAGGCCATGCGCCTGTGCGCCGCTCGCCTGACCGACCCCAGCGGCGCGCAGGCCCACTACCAGGCCGTGTGCCGCGCGCTCTTCGTGGAGACGCTGGAGCTGCGGGCCTTCCTTGCCAGGGTCCGGGAGGCCAAGGAGGTGAGCGGACCGAGGGTGTGCCCCAGCCTAAGGGGCCCGGGCCGCGGTGGGGGGGCTTCCCGGAGGCCCAGGAGGTGAGGGCCGGGCCGGTGGAGCGCATGGGGGGCGGGGTCGCAGCAGGAGCCAGGAGGGGCCACTGGAAGTGTCTTTCTGTGCAAGGATGGGGAGCCAGGTGGGCAGGGCAGGGTGTTCCCCCCAACCCCTTCCGGCCTTTTGCCTCTGTCCCCTCGAGGGTCCAACAGGGAGTGGAAATCCTCAGTGCAGGGCTCTGAATAGCACGGCTCACTCTCTCTATGTTTTAGCTTAACTCTCACACCTTACCTGGTTTTGCATAGGCGGGAACTCGGGGTTAGAAACTTAAGTAACTGGCTCTCAGCACCTTTACCCCATGACCTCACTCCTGCTGCCTCTAAGTTAGTTATTAACATCCCTGGTCCCCATGTTTACATCTGCGAAAGGAGCTGTGCCTCCTGCCTCTGGCTCGTCTGCCAGGGTGCTGGTTCCTTCTGAAAATAGGGCACTGGGGGGTTCCTGGACAGCCTCTTCCTGCTGGCATTTCCCCCCAGCGCTGTTCTGCCTCTTCATGGTCCCCAGTTAGGAGATGACAGTCTTTGCCTCAACTCTCTCAGCCTCTCCCTTGTAGATATTTCCTTGAAACAGGGGTCACTGCCAGCATTCCACCAGCATTTCACAGATGAGAACAGACTTTGATGAGGTTGAGAAGAATTGTCTCTTCTCTCTCTTGCTTATTGGCAGAAGGTATTTTGAGAATTAACTGATGCTGGTCCCTGAGTCCACCCTGACTCTTTATGGAGGCGTCTCTCTTCTCCTCCAGCCAAGACATGTTCCTGGCCCTGAGCTCCCGCAGGTTCTCAGGGTTGTTCTGATTTCAGGGCCTGGACCCAGCACAGGACAGTTCAGGTGCTGCTCCAGCCACTTGGCCCTTGTGTGCAGCCCAGTCAATAGCCCAGGGGTGCCCTCTCTCAGGCTCCCAAGCCCCGTCCTCCATCTTCCCTCCCCACTCCTCCTCGGTACCTTAGCAACGTCCTTCTAACACTCTAATTAGGGGATGGTCCTAATTCTTTACCAGACAATCAAAGTTCTTTCTTTAGTAGGAGTAAACAGTTCTAGACTTGAAGCAGTTGGCCCAGGAGAAGCCCAGGGAATTGGTGGGAGGGAGTGAGAGGAGTGTCTGTTGGTGGGCACAGCTAGGTCAACATTTTGGGCAGAAACTCCCTGCTCGGGGCAGGTATAGATACTCTGGGAAGAACAGGAGACCCACGTTCGTGCCCTTTGTCTACAGGCACTGCCAGGTCACACACAAGTCTAGTTTTAGAATCAACACCTTGTGCTCCTCAGAGACTTGGCAGTTTTCAGGAGCGTCCTAAAGCAGTTTGGCAAGTGGCTTCGGACATGAGCCAGGGTAACCGGTTCTGTCTTGGTTGGAGGATATGGGTGGCGAGGGGCTGGGGGTGAGAGGAGTCTGTGTGCTGAAGGGCAGATGCTTCTCCAGGGTGAGGAGTGGTGAGAACAGGCCCCACTTGCTGCCAAGCTTCAGGGCAAGAAATCTAGCTGCTGCTTCCCAAATTCTCAGCACAGAACAGTCACCTGACAGTCCTGCACACCCATCTTGGGCCCTCATCATGATGGTGGCACTTTCTCTAGTTCATGAAATACACACCTGTGACTGTTCCCCAGTACTTGTGTTGAGTTAGGCACCCTCTCACCCATCCATCCATCCGTCTGTTCATTCTTTCAACTAATCTTTAAGACTTCACATGTGTCACACTGGTGGGAGCCAGGAACCCCAAGATGAAAAAAAGCAAAAACTGAAAATGCGGCTCTGGCCTCACAGAACCAGTCGTCCAGACAACAGTCAAAGATGCAGATGATGTAAAACTTCAGATGGGATCATGTACAGAGACGTGGCTGTGGGTGTTCTGAGGGGGTGGGGTGTGCCTGGGGCCCGGGCAGAGAGGCTGAGAAAGGCCTTCCTGAGGAGGGGCCCACATCAGACCTGTGAGCTGAGGTTTGAAGCCCTTCACTGGTGATGGAATGGGGGCGTCCACGCCTGTACCTGCTCTCTGTGGAGGACGCAGTCCTCAGTAGGGTGTGTGGATCAGCTGAGAGAAGGGGATAGGCTTTTTTTTTTGTAAACGAGGGGGTTCTGGTCAGTGCTCTGCAGGTGCTGTGCCTTGTCCCCTGCCCTTGCCCAGGGGAGCTGCCAGAGGACCACCACGCATTCCCTGGTGGCTCCAAGGCCGGTGCTTGCTTCCCCCAATATCCTCCTGAGCCCCAGAGTCTTGTCCAAAGGGCCAGCTGTCCCTCTGTGAGCTGCTGGACAAGCAGCCTGCGTGGTAAGGAAGTGCCCCTGGTGGCCAGGCTGGCAGGGGCACACGCACCCCCACGGCCGTGCCCTCCATTTCTCCCGGATGGACAGATGCTGCAGAAGCTTCGGGAAGACGAACCACAGTCAGAGAGGCCCCTGGCGGAGCTCGACAGCCTGGGGCGCACAGACTGGGTAAGACGTGTTCCCCGCTGACTCGGGACATGGACGGGCACAGCCTGGCAGCCCTGCCCTGGGCTAAGAGCTGCTTCCATCTTCTCTGGGGCCCAGGCCCGACTCTGGGTCCAGCTCATGCGGGAGCTCCGCCATGGAGTGAAGCTGAAGAAGGTGCAGGAGCAGGAGTTCAACCCCCTGCCCACCGAGTTCCAGCTCACCCCCTTCGAGATGCTGATGCAGGACATCCGCGCCAGGAACTACAAGCTGCGCAAGGTCATGGTGAGCCGCCCAAGGTCGTGGGGAGCTGGGGCTGGGGGCGTCCACTCTCAGCCCTCTGCCCGTCTGAGGCCCTGCCTGGTGCCCTGGTCACTGAACCGGGGGTTCCATGGGGACTGAGGACACAGTGTGGCAGGGCAGGAGCTAGGGCTGCGGGACTGCCCCCTGCGAGACTTCCATGGCCTAGACGTGTGCCAGCTTCAGTCTGGGAATCTTACACCTGCAAGTTAATTTCATTCTCATGATGACCCTGTGAGGTGGTGCCACTGACCCCCATTTCCACTTGAATCCGAGATGCGGGGAGAGCCACTGGTCAGGCCTCGCAGGCCACGGCCACACGGCCCCTGAGAGGGAGGATGGAGTGAGGAGTTAGTGCTGCCCAGGGCTGCGTGAGCCCATCCTAAGGCCGCAGCCCCAGCAGATGGGCCCTGAGCCTTGCTGCCTCCCCGCCCTCTCCCACAGGTCGATGGGGACATCCCTCCCAGGGTGAAGAAAGATGCCCACGAACTCATTTTGGACTTTATCCGCTCCCGGCCTCCCCTGAAGCAGGTACCTGCGCTGCGCTCCTCCAGTCTCAGCCGCCCCTCCTCCAGGAGTCTGTGCTGAGGAGCACAGAGGACTTCCTGTGCCAGCCCACCTCCCAGATTCCTCAGGCAGGCTCCTCCCCACCCCGGGCTGTGCCCTTCTCAGCGGGCACTGCCACACCCTTGCAGGTCTCCGAGAGAAGGCTTCGCCCCTTACCCCAGAAGCAGAGGACCCTGCACGAGAAGATCCTGGAGGAGATCAAGCAGGAACGGAGGCTGCGGCCCGTGGAGGGCAGGCGCTGGGATGGCCGTGGTGAGCGGAGTGAGCCTGGGCCCTCCTGCCCTTCCCCTGCCTTCCTCCCCTCCCTCACCACCCTGTCCTGTCCTGCCCTCCCCAGGGTTTGGCTCTCTGCCTTGCATCCTCAACGCCTGCTCTGGGGATGTCAAGTCCACTTCCTGCATCAACCTGTCCCTCCCAGATGCTGGGAGCAGCGCCCAGCGCCCACGGCCCCGGGTCCTGCTAAAGGCACCCACCTTGGCTGAGATGGAGGAGATGAACATATCCGAGGTCAGAGCCCACAGGTTCCTGAAGAGACCAGGGAGGAGGGGGAGGAGGAGGGCCAGGGCCGAGCACAGCCACAGTGCAGCACCTGCTGTGGAGCTGGTGTCCTGCTATGGGGCTGGGTCTGCCCTGGGGGCAAGCATGTGGGGCTCAGGGACCCTTACCCATCCTGGTGGCTCAGAAGGGTGACTGGGGCAGTGCCTTGGGCCACCTGTTGCCTCAGCACAAACAGGACAGAAATGGAGTACTCTGTCATCTTGGGGCTGGGAAGCTGGGCAGACCCCCTTGGAGGTGAAAAGCCAAGATGTCCGAGCAGCTCCCCCTCTGGGCCGCACTGCCCTCAGAGCCAAGGGAGCCCCGGGTGATGGTCATCTCCATGGGCTCCACCTCACCCCAGACCTGTTCTCCCCAAGTTGTTTCAGGGGCCTTGGGCAAGGGTTTGGTTTTTAAGGCACCAGAGGACAGTTGGGCTGGGCAGTGAGTGGGGGGTGGCCCCACGTGTCCTGTGCCTCAGGCCAGGGCCAGACAGGAGGCACTGGCGGGCCAGGAGATCAGGGCAGCTCTGGGTCGGTATGTCCGCAGGAGGAAGAGTCTCCGTGCGGGGAGGTCACACTGAAACGTGACCGCTCCTTCTCGGAGCACGACCTGGCCCAGCTCCGGGGCGAAGTGACTTCTGGTCTGCAGCCAGCCCCGCAGCCTGAAGGAGCGTTAGCGCCGTCGCGGCCCCGGGCAGGGAGCGTGCATTCCTGGGGGCCCAGCACCCAGCAGCAGGGTGAGTGTCGCCTCTCCTGTGGGTGCCCTGTCACCTTGCTGAGCTGGCAGCGCCCAGAAGCCTGCAAGAAGGGCTTTATTGCCTCAGGGAGCCATTCCCCACCTTTGACTTGAAAACTTTCTTATTAAATTAGTCATGGGTATTCATTGTCAAATGCTAAAACTTAAAAAAAAAATCCCTGTGATTCAACCACCTGGAGATAATTACCATTCGTGTGTTAACACATAGAAAGATGGAAAGATGGACGAGTGATTGCTGAACCCTTCCAGTCTTTCTCTTTCTGTCAGTGAAATGTGTCCGCAGCGAACCAGGTAGGCTGGGCGGCACACGTTCACCCTGGAACCTTGCTAGTCACCTGGGATTTCTCGAGAGCCCCTCCTTTCCCTGCACAGAGGACAGGACAGTTCTACTGGCCATGCAGGGTTGGCTGGTCCCACCGTGGTGAGGGCTGGGCTCCACCAAGTTCCCACAGGTCTTAGGGTTGTCACCCACCCACTGCCTCTCTCCAGACACGGCAGCCCTTTCTCTACCCTCAAGGTCACCTTGAGCTACCCTGTTGCTTTCTGGCCACTCAGGATGGCCCTACTTAGTAGCTATGACTCACTTTCTGGTGTGAAGAGGTTCAGGCCAGGGATTCCATTCCTCACTGTCCCCTCCAACCCTCTCTGCCCTCTGTGTCTCCATGCAGAGTGTAGTGAGGGGGCCTGACCAAGGTGGACAGTCTTTCTGCGTGGCCAGTGCCATGTATTCTAGGGCAGCCCTGCGGCTGCCACAGCACCATCATGGCACTCAATGTTGGGTCACTCACAGGGCTCAGGTGTGGGGCCTGGATGTGGGCAGTGTGTTCTCTGCTCGGCCCCTCAACCCCAGGAAATCACTCGCTGTCTCCTGCCGCCTGCCAGGCCGTCTCTGCTGCCCCCTGGGCACAGCCCTCCCACACCAGAATTTCTGCAGGTTGTCCTGACAGGCCCGTGTTCTTCCTCCAGGTTCCTTCACGGTTAGTGTCCCGTCCCATCCTGACCCCAGCTGCCCCCCACACAGTGACCTGGGCTCAGCCGAAGACAAGCCAGGGGCCTCCTCGGCCCCAGACGCCCATCACCTGTGGCTGGTGAGTGATGGAGGCCCCGTGGTTGAGGGCAGCTGGCGCAGTGTTGGTCTGTTGGGCTCAGGAGTGCTGGGGGCTTCCATCAGCGGGCGTGGCTGGGTCCAGAGAGGCCACATCTAGGGAGGCTGGTCTCTGCTGCCGCCTCCTGGACCTTGTGAGCACTGCGGCCACCAGGCCAGAGAAGGACCTTGCTAAGGGGACAGCTGAGCCCCATGTCTGGGGGTTAGGACAGAGGAGACGCCTGATACCCTGTGACCTTGAGGCCACAAGGTGTGCCTGGAGGGCCTGGCGGCCCCCCGTGCCTCAGCTCCAGCAGCTGTGAGCTCTGCTGAGTGCAGTTGTGAGGAGCCAGCAGCTGCTGGTGCCGAGGCCCCCGCTGGTACCCGAGCCTTGGTGTGCAGCTTCATCAAATGGGGTGAGAGGAATGAAGGTGCCCGGGGAGCCAAAGGGCAGCTTGCTGGCGTGTGGAGGAGTCAGTGCTGTGCTTGTGGCTGTTTGCCCTCCAAGTGTTACCAAGAGGCGAGAGAGAGAGATGTTAAAAGGCTTTGAAAAGCCTAAGGCAGCATCACAGGTAACACTCCCCGTCTGAAGGGGATGCTCCCCTCGGAGCCCTGTATTCGTCATCTGTTGCATGTAAAAAGCCACATTTATTACGTCACAGCTTCTGTGGGTCCAGAATCCAGGAGCGGCTCAGCCGGCGGCTCTGTCTCGGCCTCAGGTGAGGTCACAGCCGGCGAGTCAGCAGGGCGGTGTCGACGGGGCTGGAGGATCTGCTCCTGAGGAGGCTCCTCGCCCGGCTGCGGGTGGGCGGCCTCCTGAGCGTTCTCACCAGGTGCCCCCCTGCCCCATCCCGTGAGCAATCCGAGAGAGCCAGGAGGAAGCCAGTGTCTTTCCAGCTGAGTCTCACAAGTGATACACTGTCATTTCCACCTTATCTGTTCAGTACCAGTGAGTCACTGAGTCCACTCGCAGGACCACTTTTGAAGGCAGGGATGTCCAGGGACCAGGAGATGTACAGCAAATCCTACAGGTGTTTTTTCAACTGAGATCTCGAGTGCTTTCTGAGAGGCATGGCTGTCAAAGATCAGAACTTCAGTGGCCTTGTCCCCACCCTGAGCATGTGTGTGTGGCCCGGTCTGAGGGGCTCCCCATTGAGACCTCTTGGCAGTGTGTGCTGTCAGTGTGACGGCTGTTAAGGGTAAGGGGGGAATTGTGCAAATGTAACAGCACCACCAGGCTACTGGAAAAGCAATCAGAGGCCAGGGAATCTGGACACTTCACGTCACAGAAGAGAAGAACATGGGTCCCAGACTCACCCAGTACCAGACAGTGGCAGGTGTCTGACAACCATAAATAGGACAGTCCACTGAAAATCTGAGGCACAGACACTGTCCATCTCCCATTAGCCTCTCGTCTGGCTGTCTCATCTTGGTAGCTAATGTTTTAACTCTGGGTGCCAGGCGCTGCGTCCTCTTGGTGGAGTTGAGATACCCCACTTTACAGAAGAGGAACTGACGCTTTGAGAGGCCGAGTTCTGTGCTCAGAATGCAGAACTGCTCCCCTGTTCCCCTGAGGGGCAGAACAGGGCATGCTTGCCACGAAGGGCCCAAAGGAGCAGGTGGTTGTGATGAGTCAGGTGCAGACTACACAGATCCAGAGCTGCAGCGTGTGGTGAGCGGCGGAGGGAGGGAGGTGGGCGCAGGGAGGGAGGAGGGCTCCAGCAGCGGGGGCAGTGGGCCTGGGGACTCTGGCTGCTTTTCACCGGCTTGGTGTGTGTGTGCAGGTGGGGAACCAGGTCAGAGGCAGGTGTTTCAGGTCTGGGGAGCACTGTGAACAGGGGTGGGGATGGGCTGAAGGGTCGCTTGAGGAATGGTCACTCTGGGCCTGGGGACAAGCTGGGTGGGTGGGCGGGGCCAGGTCACAGGAAGCCTCGCCTGTCGCAGCAGGACCCTGTCTGAGAAGTCACGTGGAGCTGGCAAGTGGGCGCTTTAGTAGGAAGCTGCTGGGCTGGGGCAGGCTGAGGCCAGTAGGATGCCAGGGGCCTCGGGGGAGAGAGGACCTGGTGGAGACACTCCAAGAAGCTCACCCCTGAGAGCCTGAGCCCACCCGCCCGTCCCTCAGGAGTTCAGCCACCCTGTGGAGAGCCTTGCTCTGACCGTGGAGGAGGTGATGGATGTGCGCCGTGTGCTGGTGAAGGCTGAGATGGAGAAGTTCCTGCAGAACAGGGAGCTCCTCAGCAGCCTGAAGAAGGGGAAGGTGAGGAGGCAGGGACCCCGACTTCTCTCAGCAGGCAGGAGCCGGGCTTGGGGAGTGGTAGGCAAGGTCAAGACTGCTCTTGGCGAGTTTGGGACAAAACTGTGCTCTAAGCAGACCTTTCCTTACAGATTTGCTGCTGCTGCCGGATCAAGTTCCCTCTGTTCTCCTGGCCGCCCACCTGTCTTTTTTGCAAGAGGTGAGCCTTCTGTAAGCACCTGAGCTGTGGGTTTACATGGGAAGGAGGGGTAAGAAGCCTTGGCCTCTGTCCAGTCTGCTTCCTCTGTTCCATCCCTGTAGGGACGTTATGTCATGCACTGTGACTACTGCAAGTAAGGAACAGAATTTTTAAAATCTATTAAAAATTTTTCCTCTTTTTCTTAAAAAAAAATTTTTTTAAATGGGGGGAAGTAATTTTTTTTTTAGGTTTGCTTATTTGTTTATTTTTTTAAACAGAAGTACTGGAAATTGAACCCAGGACCTTGTGCATGCTAGGTATGCACTCTGCCACTGAGCTATACCCTCCTCCCCAGGAACAGACTTTTTAATTTTTAGTGTAACTTAATAGCTGAGGGGCTCCCACTTCCAGCCAAGGTGGGGTAACAGGCACCAGACAGGCAGTTTTACACTTGAAAAAGCCAAAAGAACCCCCCCAAACCCCAAAGATTATGAAACATTGGTTTTCAAGCAATAAATGGGAAGCAGATGGCATCCTGTGACTGCCTCAGTTCTGGAGTCAGCCTGTTGAGCTCCCGGAGTGGAGGAGGTAAAGCACAGAACCCAGGAAGACCAAGGCAGTGCAAGTTCTCCGTGCAGATTTCTGGGAGGAGAGGGTTCTCCAGGAAATGAGCCTCAGATACCTGCACACAGTCCCCCCTGAGCATTCAGAGTACTGATCAGCACATGCAAGGAAGTTACCGAGGGCTTGGAAAGAGTCATCTTGGAGCACAGATTGGCAAACTCCAGCCCATGGGCCAAATCTGGCCCACTGCCTGTTTTAGAAATAAAGTTTTATTGGAACACACCACATCGATGTGTTTATTCATTTAGCCATACATAAAATGTTTACTATCTGACCTTTTATGGAAAAAGTTTACTGACCCTGTTCTAAAGATTTAAAGGAACAGTATCTGTTCCCACTAGTCACGGTGGAAACATTGTAATTCATGGGCCACTGAGTGGGATCACAGGAAGGTCTTGCCGCACTAGCAGGAATAAGTACCCCGAGACTGAGCACTGCTCCAGAACTAACAGGTCACAAAAGCAAGACCTGAAAGGACCAAACTGTTCCCAGGTATCTTAATTGTTTCCCAGAACAAAGCTCAAGAACAGGAATAAAAAATGCCCAGCACCCAGCAAGAAGAAGTCTGGCATCCATTCCAAGGTTATCAGGTGTGTCGAGAAGCAGGAGACATAACCCATGATGAGAAAGGTCAGTGAAATCCCCTGGAACTGACACAGATGTTAGCACCAGCAGATAAGGACATTGAAAGTTTTGAACTGCATTTTGTGTGTAGAAAAAGTTAACGACATGGAAGATTGAAAGAACTCTGAGACAAATCAAACCTCTAGACACGAAAACTGGAATGTTTGGGATGGAAATTACACTGGATGATTTACAGCAGATTAGACATTCAGAGGAATGTGCAGAAGAAGAGATTAGTTAACGTCAATACATAGCAATAGAAACTATCCAAAGCAAAAACACCAAAAGAAAAAAAGAATTTGAAAAAGGAGTTGGTGAGCTGTGGGGTAGCATTAAGACGCCCACCTAATACAGGTGTAATTAAAGTCCCGGAGGAGAAGTGAGAGGCAGAAAAAGTATTTAAAGAAATAAAGCCTAAAAAGGTTTTCCAAATCTGATGAAAAATATAAACCTACAAGAAATGCAATGAACCCCAGGCAAAAGAAACATGAATAAAATCACACCAAGGCACAAATTAATCAAATAGATTGAAGCCAGTGATAGAGAATTCCTAAAATCAGCCAGCAAATGGACATGTTATGTACAGAGAAAGAAAAAGAGGACTGCAGATTTCTTGTCAAAACACCGCAAGCAAGATGTCAGTGGAACAACATCTTTGAAGTGCTGAAAGCAGGTGAAGACTGTCAATCTAGAATTCTGTACCCGGCAAGAATGTGTGTCAAAAACAAAGGCAAAAGTAAAGACATTTCCAAAAACACAAAAGCCTAAAGAATTCTTCACAATCAGACTCACACCAGAACAAGTGTTAAATGAGGTCCGTCACATAGAAGGAAAATAGTACCAGATGGAGATGTGAATGTTCACAAAGGAGTAAGAGCACTAGGAACAGCGATTACTGAGATACAATACTACTAACATACACGATGACCTGCTTATGCCGCTTTCAGAGGTAGACCAGTGTCCAGCACCCAGCGATGTAAAGTTCAGTGTTTGGCATCCAATCACAGTTTACCGGGCAAGCAAAAAAAAAAATTAATCTATTGTGGGGTTTATAACATATATCAGTAAAAAGTATCATAATGGGAGCGTTAAGACTGGGGGTGGGGATTAGAAGTATGCTGTTGTAAGTTTTTTTTATACTGTACATTAAGTGGTAAAATACTACTTGAAGGTAGAATGTGATAAGTTAAAAGACATATTCTGTGAACCCTAAAGCAAACATGAAATAACTTGTAAGTCAACAAAGAAGATAAAATGGAATAATAAAAAATAATTAATAGAGAAGGCAGAAAAGGAAAAGGGAACAAAGAGCAAATAGGACCAAAAGGAAGTAGCAAGAAATAGACTTAAACCCAACTATGTCAGTAATTACATTAAACTTAAATGGTCTGAACAATGTAGGTAAAAGGCAGTTTCCCAGATTGACTAATGAAAGCAAGACTGTTGTCGACAAGAGGTGTACTTCATTTTTATTTGTTTATTTTTATTGATGTATAGTTGACTTACAATAGTGTGTTAGGTTCTGGTGTACAGCATAGTGATTGAGTTATACATACACATATATTCGTTTTCATGTTCTTTTTAATTATGTTACTACAAGATATTGAATATAGTTCCCTGTGCTGTACAGTAGGACCTTGTTGTTTGTCTGTTTTATATATAGTACTTAGTAACTGCTAATCCCAGACTCCTAACTGATCCCTTCCCCTCCCCTTTGGTAACCATACATTTGTTTTCTATGTACATTTTAATTATTTTATTTAAAGTATTTAAGTTATTTTATTTAAATTATTTAAATTAAATTATTTTAAATTATTTTATTTAAAAATTTTTACAACATTGTAAAATGATTATAAATCAATAAAAAATGTTAAAAATAAAAAAATAAAAATTTTTTTCAGGCCTTTTTTTGGAGGGAGGAGGTAATTAGGTTTATTTATTAATTCACCGGAGGTGCTGGGGATGGAACCCAGGACCTCATGCATGCTAAGCATGTACTCCACCACTGAGCTATAACCTCCTCCCCACATGTGCTTTAAATAAAAGACAGAAATTGGTTAGGAAGGGAGATGGAGAATGATATACCATGTCAATACTAGTCTAAAGAAAGCTTGAGTTGATACATGAATACCATGCAAAGTAGACTGTGGAGCAAAGAATATTACCAGAGGTAAAGGAGTTCACTTAATAATGATAAAAGGAGGAAACAACCGCAAACATTTTCTCTACCTAGCGAGAGAGTCAGGTGCACAGAGCAGAACACCAGCATGACTGCAAGGAGAAGGAGCTAAGTCCACGGTTACACTTGGAGGTGCTGATGAATGTTGTGGACAGAGAAACTAAAGGTATAGATAGGAGATTTGAACAACACTGTCACCAACTTGATCTAACTGACATGTGGAGAACACTTGACCCAAGAGTGGGATGTACATTCTTGTCAACGGTGGAACATTCACCAAAATTGACATATTTATGCCCCGTATTCTGGGACATAAGGCAAGTCTCAAAAATGTGAAAAGATTCATATCATACAAAGTATGTTCTCTGACCACAGTGAAATAAAAGCAAATTTATACAGACATTTGTGGATGGCAAATTAATTCCGGGATGTCCATGCAAGTGTACACGGTCCCTTGTTTTATTAATTTTTATTTTTTGAGGGGTAGGTAATTAGGTCTATTTATTTAATTTAATGGAGGCACCAGGGATTGAACCTGGGACCTCATGCACACTGGGCAGGTACACTACCACTTGAGCTATATACCATCCCCCAATAGTCCCTTGTTTTAAAAAATAAATTTGGACAATTTGTACTGATGTGAGGAAGAGCCCTGGTGTATCCTTATAGAATAGTACATGATACCACATTTCATTTATTTTATATTCACTTTAAATGTTTTTCTTAATTTATGCTTAGGTCTGAGGGATGGGAACTATTGCTGGCAGGGGTCATCTCCAGGATGGGCTTTACGGGAGAGGACCCTACTTATAAATTAGAATTCTCTCTAATGTTTGAATTTTTATAGCAAGAAGGTATTTACTTTTGAAATCCCATATGGGGAATAAAAAAATGTTAATCGCTGCTTAAAACTGAGCACCTCAGCTGAGGCTTCTCTGGCTCCCATAACGCTTACGGAGAGAAGGGTCAGGCACATTGAGCTCCAGACCGGGTTTTTCCCGAGTGGCAGAAGTACTGTAGGTGTGCAGCTTAGTAAAAAGAGAAGCAAGATGTGGGGGTAGTACCACAGTGCAGCACTGAAGTGTCCAGGGGTGGAGCAGAAGGCCTGGCAGCGGGGCTGGGTGAGTAGGGCCCTCCTGGCTGACCCTGTCTCCTCTGCTTTCCTTCCAGAGCTGTCTGCACTTCCTGCAGTGTGAAGGTGAGGGTCTTCTGGGGTCTGAATGAGACCCCACGCACCTTGGTGTCCTGCGACCTGGCTGGGCTTGTCGTGGTGGGGCAGGTGGGACAGAGGCTGTGTTGTCTCCCGTCCGATGACCCTACCCTCACCAGTCACCTTCGTGTCCTTCCTCCAGGAAGAATCCACCCCTCCACCTCCCAAGACTGTGCGGTTTTTAAAGACCTTTGTAGATGTTCTTTTTTTTTTTTAATCCATGTTAGTAGGCCAGTGCCAGGAAACCCTTTCCTTCCTCTAAAAGCCATCCTTCTGACATGGCAACTCCCTTTTGTGTTTTGGAGAGGATCTTTAGAGCAGCTTGGGGTGTCTGCATATGTGCAGGTGTGCACAAAGCTAAAAGGTAACATTTCACCCCATTACGACTCATCCCAGAAACAATAATCTGCTTAATAAGGATTTTTACCACCACTATTATAAACCCCTATTTTTTATCTGCCACTTGGCTAAGGAGAAACCACCACATCAGTGTTAAGTACCAATCACACCTAGGGTGAGATGCTCGATGTTTTAAAAAGGCAGTTCCTGTTCTGGGATGCAAGGAGGCACGTGTCTTCAGACGCCAGGCATGGAGGGGCGTCCAGAGAGCATGTAGGGGGCGAGTGACCTCTAGGCCATCCCTGCCTTGCTGCCTGCCACACAGGCCCAGAGCAGGCGGCTGCTCAGGGGGACGAGGGTGCCTGGACCGTCTCTCTGCATTGCAGATGAAGATGCCTTCTAAGAAGCTTGCACACATCCCCGTCTACACGCTGGGCTTTGAGAGTCCCCAGAGGGTGTCACCTGCCAGAACCATGCCGACACAGAGAAGAGACGTCTTCCAGTGCGTGTGGTGCCCTTGCTGACATCACTGTGGTGGCCGGGCATTGACAGTAATGCGGGAGCTAGGGGTGGGGTGGGGGCTATTTGCTGGGGCACCCCAAGCCAGTGGAAACCCAAGGCAGCTAGTTTGAAACACAGGGGCTGAGTGGTCAGAGCCCAGGAAGAGCTTTTGTGGATGGGCTCTGCTCTGCCTGCTGCGGGCTGTGGGGGGGTGCCACGGAGACTCTGGCAGGGCCCCCTGACGGCCCTCTCCCGCCCCAGATCCCTGCAGGGGCCCCAGTGGCGCAGCGTGGAGGAGGAGTTCCCGCACATGTACACCCACGGCTGCGTCCTGAAGGATGTCTGCACTGACTGCACCAGCTTCGTGGCGGACGTGGTGCGCTCCAGCCGCAAGAGTGTGGATGCCCTCAACACCACGCCCCGCCGTGCCCGCCACACCCAGTCCCTGTACGTCCCGGACACCTGGACTCTGGACCTCAAGTGACAGCCCCTGGGCCCCCAGGCCACCTGGCCAGAGGCTTTCCAAGGTGCCCCCAGGTGGCCATGTCTCTGGGGAGGAGATGGGCTCGTCCTGACCCAGGCGGAGAAGTCCCCATCCTCCTGAGTGTGCATGTACATATATACATATATAGATATGTTTATATAATACTTACACACAGCCTGTATATTTATATTCATGTTTCCTGGCCCCAGAGTTCATTTGGGGTCAGGCTCACCCCAGGACCCTCCCTGGGGGAGGCTGTTTCCCCAGGTTCCTTGGGGTGGGGAGGGGGTGGAATAGGAACAGGCCTCCTCACTCAGACAGGGAGGGGCAGGTGGAGGGACAGTACAGGACCCCAGCGGGGGGCTCTGGGGAGAGGGTCCCACCCCCATATGTATTCTCTTCTCTGTCTGGGGCTGAGAATACTGCAGCTTCCCCTCCCTAGGTGGGAGTCCGGGCTGGGACAGGGCTCCTGGGTCCCCTTTTTGCATCTGTGCACTCTCAGCAGGGAGGTGGGCTGAGAGTCCTCTGTTGGGCCCCCGTTTGGAAGATCCAAGGCCCAGCTTGCAACTTGCCCCTGCCTGGCCTCCACACCTGGCCATTGCCATGCAGCTGGTGTCACCTGCCTCACTACGTGTGGGACCGTGCTGGCCTGAGTCCCGATTCCAGGAGGAGCAATGTAAACTGCACATGGCCACTCGTGACCTAATAAAGGTGGTCTCATAGTCTCCTGTCTGGGGTGTGAACTGAGAACTACCCAGCTGTGGTGGTGGGCATCTTCTCAAAGGGTGGATGTTGGGCTCCGAGGGCCACCAGCCCTCCGGTGCCCTTATGGTGTGAGGCCCAGTCCCACCCACAGTGCCCACTCTGAGACCTGGCCATCTTGGTCCTATGTGCCCACTCTGAGACCCGGCCATCTTGGTCCTATGGCCAGAAGGGCTACGTTTCTAAAGTGGTTCAGCCTGCTGCCCATCAGCTGCCTGCCTGGGTGGGGAGGCCCTCTGGCCTCATCCCCCTTACCGCTTCTCCTGTTCTCCAGGCAGATGATTCTGTCGGGGCTGGCAGGGTTGAGGAGAATGGATGGGGAGCGCCCAGGGGCTCTGCCTGGGTGGGGCTCTGCTACCACCATCTTAGAGGAGGCTCAGAGAGGTGAGGGGATTTGGCCAAAGAAGCACAGCCTGCCCAGCATCTCCCACCAGGCCTGCTGGGTGCCAGGCCCTAATGCCTGGCACACAGTTATGGGCCCAAGGAGGCCCCAAGGGACAGAACTTATAACAGATGAGCCTTCAGGTAAGACACTCGACTACACAAACTTAAGACCAGCCAGTTCCCAGCACTTGTTCTGTGCATTTCATTGGCAGGGAGTATTATTCCCATTTTAAAATGAGAAGACTAGCACAGAGAGGGTGAAGAATTGCCTGGTCACACAGCCAGCAACAAGAAAGCAAGTAATCCTATAGGCAAGGAAACAGGCCAGGTGACATGTGCAGGCCCTGCTCCCAAAAGGAGGTGACCCAGGTTCTAATCCTCATAGGAACACTTGGAAATGAAAGTGTATTTGAAAACAGAATAAAAACCCATCCTTGCACAGCTGGGCTAAGCTGGGAGCACCCACACAGCTCAAAGGTGAGGTCAGGAGGGAGGATCTGACACTCCCATGGCCCCTGCTGTCCTGCCTGTCACGGGCTCACCTCGGCTGACCCCAGGTGCCAAAAGCTCTAGTGTCAGCCCTCTGAACCCAGCCCTGACTCTGCCTCACCTAATTTAGATCTTGATAAAGAGATCACTTACTCCAAAACTTTTACAACCAAACTTCTTGCCAAGGATGAGACCTTTGGTTGTATAGGGAGAGACGTGTGTTCAAAGGTGCCTCTCCAGGGACATTGCCACTCAGCTTGTCTCTGGTGCTGCACCTCTCAGTCCCAGGGCCGCCATCTCATGGAGACAAAGCAGGACACAGCTCCAGGTGAGCATCCCACATTTCCATCCACAGGAGAGGCAGCAAAGCTGGTCACACCTCAGACCAGGGGTGACACAATCTATGTAATGACTAGCCTGGCCCTGAAGGATGAGAGCTTTCAGGGTGGTGCCCTGGAGGTCTTGCCTGTGTTGTGGGAGATGTGGGGGTGGGGGTGGCCTGAGGCAGCAGCTACCCGCCAGCTAGTGTGAAGTATTTCAAGATCTTAGGAATACTGGCTGACAGACCAGCCATGTGTTCCCCCCTTCTCGATCTTTGCTAGCAACCTTCCTCATTTGATCCCTGGAACCACAGATACGAATGCAAGTCTAGATTCTACCTGGGCCAGTTCCTTATTCTGAGTCCCAGTTTCCTTACCTGTGAAAAGGGGGATACCTCCCTTCCAGGACAAGGTCAGAGCTCAGTACAGGGCCTGGCCTGCAGCCACAGTGACAGCCATGGCATCCCACGTGGCCCTCTCCTCGGTCAAGGTGTGAGAACGCCTTACGCGCACACCACCTTGCCCTGGCATCGGGACCTCTGCAGGGCAGGGCTTCTCGAATCTGCCTGCACATTCTAATCCCCTGAAGATCTTTTAGAACTATCAATGCCAGATCCCACGTCGGAATTTCTAGGGATGGGACCTTGATCCTCAGTGTAAAAGTTCCCCCAGGAGGTTATGACCCACGGTAAGGGTGGTGAGCCTCCACCTGAGACCGCGGATTCCCACACCTAGATGGACAGAAGAATCACTCGGGCAAACTCCCCGGACAATCCTGAGGTTCGGTGTCAATCTCTCCCAGGGAGGGGGTGTCCAGGAATCCGCAGCGTGGGAAGCTCCTCGGTCTGAATGTGCTTACTTTTAATAAGGAGGGAACTGTCTCGCCTGCAGCCGTGGAGGCGGGCTGCGGGGACTAGGGACCTCCCGGCCTCCCGGCTGTCGCCTGCGCCCTGCCACCTGGACCAGCCCGCACTCAGCGTAGCAGGCTAGCATAGCAGCCTGAGCACCCAGGTCCCGGTCCCCGCCCCGACGTCAGTCCCGGGCGCGCCTCTCCAGGACCCGGAGACACCGGCCCAAGTCGCGCGAGAACTCGCCCGGAAGTGCCCGCACCTTCTTTGATGCCGCCGATGACGGAGAGGAAGTTCCGGAGAGCCGCAGCGCGCAGACGCGACACGCCAGCCTCACGCCACCGCGCCGTGAGTGCGCAGGCGCGCCGGTCGCTCTCTTTTCTGCTCTTCCTTCTGTCCGTCTCCACACGTCAGCGGCTGTTGGGTCCTATGTCGCGCCGGGCCCTCCGGAGGCTGCGGGGGGAACAGCGCGGCCAGGAGCCCCTCGGGCCTGGCGCCCTGCAGTTTGTCCTCCATGATGACGATGATGCGGAAGAAGAAGGCCCAAAGCGGGGACCAGGTGGCCGGCGCCCCCGGGGCCGGCCAGGGGAAGGACGGGG